GTTACTTAGGGACACAGAATCGTTACTCAGGGACACAGAATTGTTACTCAGGGGACACAGAATTGTTACTCAGGGACAGACACAGAATTGTTACTCCAGGGACACAGAATTGTTACTGAGGGACACAGAATCGTTACTCAGGACACAGAATCGTTACTCAGGGACACAGAATTGTTACTCAGGGACACAGAATTGTTACTCAGGGACAGACACAGAATTGTTACTCCTCAGGGACACAGAATTGTTACTGAGGGACACAGAATCGTTTACTGAGGGACACAGAATTTGTTACTCAGGGACACAGAATTGTTTACTCAGGGGACACAGAATTGTTACTTCAGGGACACAGAATTGTTTACTCAGGGACAACAGAACTTGTTACTCAGGGACAGAAATTGTTACTGAGGACACAGAATCGTTTACTCAGGGACACAGAATTGTTACTCAGGGACACAGAATTGTTACTCAGGGACAGACACAGAATTGTTACTCAGGGACACAGAATTGTTACTCAGGGACACAGAATTTTTTACTCAGGGGGACACAGAATCGTTTACTCAGGGACACAGAATCGTTACTGAGGACACAGAATTGTTACTCAGGGACACAGAATTGTTACTCAGGGACACAGAATTGTTACTCAGGGACACAGAATCGTTACTGAGGGACACAGGAATAAATAGTTACTGAGGGACACTGAATCGTTACTCAGGGACACAGAATTGTTACTCAGGGACACAGAATTGTTACTCAGGGACAGACACAGAATTGTTACTCAGGGAACACAGAATTGTTACTCAGGACACAGAATTGTTACTGAGAGACACAGAATCGTTACTCAGGGACACAGAATCGTTACTCAGGGACACAGAATCGTTACTCAGGGACACAGAATCGTTACTGAGGGACACAGAATCGTTACTGAGGGACACAGAATCGTTACACAGGGACACAGAATCGTTACTACAGGACACAGAATCGTTATTGAGGGCACACAGAATCGTTACTGAGGACACAGAATTGTTACTCAGGGGACACAGAATTGTTACTCAGGGACACAGAATTGTTACTCAGGGACACAGAAAATCGTTACTGAGGGACACAAGCAATCGTTACTCAGGGACACAGAATCGTTACTCAGGGACACAGAATTGTTACTCAGGGACACAGAATCGTTACTCAGGGACACAGAATTGTTACTCAGGACACAGAATTGTTACTCAGGGACACACTGATTTGTTACTCACAGAATCGTTTACTGAGGAACACAGAATCGTTACTCAGGGACACAGAATCGTTTACTCAGGGACACAGAATCGTTTACTCAGGGACTCAGAATTGTTACCAGGGACCACAGAATCGTGGACTCAGGGACACAGAATCGTTGAATTAAAGAGTATGTCAGACAACACGCAGAGGAGTGGCAGAGGAGGCAATTGTTTCAGGACGAGCAGACGTGGCAGCAGAGGAAGGGTCGAGGCAGCACTAGTCGCAGCCAGAGGCCAGTGCTCCCGGTGTCATCCAGCGGTCGTGTCTCCACCGACAACCCTGCCGTCATCGATTGTTGGCTCGGTCTCTTCCTCTTCCCAGGTCACCTCTGACACCTACAGCCAACGGTCGGTGGTTACGTCAGACACAACCGTTAGTTGGCATGGCCCGGGAGCAAGCCCACTGAAATCACGTGTCCTCTACCTGCCCCTGTCCTTTGGTGTTCCCTCACCAAGCGAAGTATCGCATGGCTGTGGCTCAGCCCCACTGTACAGTGAGGAAGAGCTAAATACAAGAGGCGCGTCAGGAACGGGGGGAGACATCCGCCTCTTCAGCAGCAAGGCGAAGAAGTACTGGCGAGGTGAGAGTGGCTCGGTAGCCGGTCTAGAGACAGGTCTGTCTCCTGACCCTGACCAGCCGAGGGGCTAGTATGAGGCGGAGACCCTAATTGATGATGATGAGGCTGATCGCACTTGCACCTCGTCGTCATCAGGCTATTGCTTCCGCATCATCAGAGAAGAGAGGTGCCAGCTTGGCAGCGAGCAAAACAGTCGGTTTGCCCAGCGAGGCAGCAGGGTCGCAGCAGTGTCAGTGGAGGCAAACGGCCACGGAGTAGAGCACCAGCTCCACTGCAGCCTACCACCACGGCCAGTATGGTGCAGTGTGCACGGAGGAAGTAGCAGTCAGCCAGTGAGGAGTAGCGGGTGGCAAAGTTTCCTACTCGGCGGAGTGTGGCAATTTTTTGCGTCAAGCCCGCCCGAGGAAGTAAACGTAAGCCGTATGTCGACTATGTGGCCAGAAAGTCAAGCGTGGCCAGGGGCCCATGTTGGGGACTACAGCGTTGAATCAGCATATGCAGCAGTGTCGCCATTCGGTGGCCTGGAAAACCGTGATAAAGATACGGCGGTTCTGCCTGCCCCAGCCCCCGCTCCATCACCCGCTCCGTTACGTGCTCCGTCACCCTAGTGAAGCGACGTTCATCGCCCTCTATCAGCCAGTCAAGGCTCCAACACCTCTGCTGAGGGGAGTTGTCGCTCGTTGGCATCTTTCCGCTCGTTCAGAATGCTCCTTCTCCTGCTACTCCTCTTCACGGATTCCGTCAGCAGTCTTTCCTTTGGGAATCCGTTTCCAAGAGACAAAAACAGTTTGCGAGCACGCACCCACTGTGCAGAAGCTGAACGTCCTCCTGTCCAAGTTCCTGGTGCTGCAGTCCCTCCCTTTCCAAGTGGTGGACTCAGCACCTTTCCGGAGAAATGATGGCTTGTGCCGCGCCACGGTGGAGAGAGCCAAGCCGTCATTTCTTCCTGACCAAAAAGGCAGAGTGCCAGCCCTGCATTCACATGTAGAAGAGATGGTGTGGCCAGTCTTTGAGCATGTCGGTCTCTGCCAAAGTGCACGGCAGCGCCGACTGTGGAGCTGTAACTACGGTCAGGGACAGTACATGTCATTTACGGCCCACTGGGTGAACGTGGTGCCGGCACAGCCGCACCAGCAACTTGGACAGGTCACGCCGCTTTTGCCTCCACGTTTGCACGTCCTTGGTCCAGCAAAGATGTCCGCCTCTACCACCTCTTCTTCCGCCGTGTCCTCAGCCGCCACCCCCGTGCCAAGTCCCATTACCCGACCCGGCATATCACATGTGCAGGGTGCAAACGGTGTCACGCTGTGCTGCACCTGGTATGCCTTGGCGAACGTAGTCACACAGTGGAGGAACTTCTCAGTGTAATGAACAAGAAATCGACAGATGGCTGTCTCCGCGCAAACTGAAAATCGGAACCATGTTGACACGACAATGGAAAGAACTGCCTGCTCTGCGTCAAGGAAGTTTGTCCATGCCCCATGCATGGCTCACGTGTTCAATCTGTTGTCAAGCGGTTCCTAAAATCCACCATCCCACTGCAAGACATCCTTAAAATGTCACGTAAACTTTGCATGCATTTCAGCCATTCCTACAGGTACCGCAAAGCACACCCTCCTTGAGCTGCAGGCGCAGAACGGAATTCCACAGCATCGCCTGATCTGCGACGTTGCAACAAGGTGGAATTCATTGCTGCTGCCAGGCCCGTAATCTGCCATGGGCCCCCGTACACGACTCCCTCATGCCGTTGCAACAAGGTGGAATTCAACCCTACATATTTATAGACCCGCCTTTACGAACACAAAGGCCATCACAATGTATTTTTCCTAAAAAATAACCTGACTGTTAAAACTAATAAAAACGGATAAAAAATACTTAAACAATACTCCCCCCCTGTGTAACTTAGATGTCAGCCATTGGCAGCTCATGCGTGACACCTGCCGCTTGCTCAGGCCCTTTGAGGAGCCACGCTATTCGTGATCGGCAGACTATGGGATGAACGACGGTCATTCCTCTGTTGCACGTCCTGGAACAAATGCCTGTTAACAATGGCTGGTCAGGGTGCGGTAGACGTGGCGCACAAATCTCAACCCCACATGACCCCTGTGGGGGCAGGACAGGAAGAAGAGGAGGATGAGGTAGAGGAGGACATTTGCCAGGAAATTATTTGAGTGAAATGGGGTGGTTTTTCCACTCAGCGGACAGGAGTGGAGGAGCAGGAGCATCTGGTAGAGGAGGAGGTGAGACAAGGACCCAGACGCACAGTGGCATATGCTGTGGAGATTGAGGCAGGGAGTCCCTCGCATTCCTTGCACAAATGCCCATAGCAATGCTCGGATTGCTTGCGTAGCGACAGCCGAATAATAACCATCAACAGAGGGATGACTTTTGGCTGTCCACCTTGTTTGGACCCTCGCTACGGTTCAAAAATGTGCCTTTTTCAACACCTGCTGAGAGGGAGGGCCAAAATAACGTACTATAAAAACCACCTATGTAGTCAGTTGGTCTCTGCCTTTCTGCGCCAACGTCCATCCTCAACCACTGTGGGCCCTGTTGCGCTCGCATTCCGCTGCCATGGCAGCAGGGGAGGGGTGGGGTGGTAGGAGCAGTGGCAGCTCCACCAGCACGGCTGCCTCAGTCTGCAGTCATGATGAGTAGCTTTCCCATCTACCAGCGCAGTGAGGAAACTACTAACCAGCCGCACACAAAAAAAATGCAGGTGGACAAAGCATCAGCAGGACCTCAATCACAGGCTTGGGCCTACTTGGACAGAAACCCTGCCAACCGAGGTAGACAATGCCCCTTGACTACTGGCAACGAAAACTTGACCTTTTGGCCCCAACTAAGCTGAATTTGCCCTTGAAAGGCTGTCATGCCCGCCAGTAGCCGTGGCATCGGAGCGCGTGTTTAATGCGGGCAGGAGTATTGTAACTCCTGCGAGGACACGACTAATCCACCCAAAGTGTGGAGAGACTCACTTTGTGAAAATTAATCAGGCGTGGATTAGTCTGGATTTCAAACCACCAGTTCCTGACACAACTGACAAATCCGCCATGAATCATGCCCCAAACATGTTATTAGCATTTAACATAAGGCCTCTGTATGGCCCTTCAATTTAACAGCCAATTACGCCTTCGCCACCTTTAGTACTGCCATGGCCCCCTGTACCGCCTCCTCTATGCTGCTGCCAGGTCCAGAGGGTGTCATGGGGTCCCTGTACGGCCTCCCATTGCTGCTGTCCTCCATCCCACACTCTGCCATGTGCCACTTTCAGGTCTCCTCACACTGCTGGTAGTGTTCCATTTTTGTCATAAGGGTGCTGGCAGATTACGGGCCCGCCCATTGCTGCTATGCCAGGCCCGTAATCTGCCATGGTCCCCCGAACCAAAGACCTCCCATTAGCTGCTTCCAGGCCCGAAATCTGTCATGGGCCCCTGTGCACCCAAGCCTCCTCATGCTGCTGCCAAGGTCCAGAGTGTGTCATGGGTCCCCCTGTACGGGCCTCCCATTGCTGCTAACAGGCCCGTAATCTGCCATGGGCCCCCGTACCGACTCCTCATGCTGCTGCCAAGCCCGTAAATCTGTCCCTGGCCCCCAGTGTTTCCTTGCCTCCTCATGCTGCTGCCAGGTCCAGAGTGGTGTCATGGGTCCCTGTACGGCCTCCCATTGCTGCCTGTCCCATTGCTGCACACCGGCACCGCCACACTCTGCCATGGCCAGCCCACTTTCAGTCTCCTCACATTGCTTGTGGGTTCCATTTGTCATAGGGTGCTGGCAGATTACGTGCCTCATGCATTGCTGCTCGCCAGGCCAGTAATCTGCCATGGGATCCCGTACCGACTCCTCATGCTGCTGCCAGGCCCGTAATCTGTCATGGGCCCCTGTACCGCCTCCTCATGCTGCTTGCCAGGTCCAGAGTGTGTCATGGGTCCCTGTACGCCCATCCCATTGCTGCTGTCTCCATCCCACACTCTGCTGGCCATAAAACCACTTTCAGGTCTCCTCCTCACACTGCTGGTGTATAGGTTCCATTTTTTTCAGGATAGGGTGCTGTATGGCGCTCCCATTGCTGCTGCCTCCACCGCCACACCACACGTGGCTCCACACTCTGGTTTGGCCCCGTGACTGCCCAAATGAGTGAAGTGTGCGGTGATTCTAAGATCGACGGCACTCATGCTGCAATGTCATCACTGACTGACATATTATTTCTCTTCCCCAGCAGACTCCAAGGGCATTTAAATTAAAGGTACAGTGTTCTGCACATAATATAAAGGCTCTCTGAAAGCCTAGAAACCACCCTTTTTATAATGTTAAATTCGCAGCGAATATATTCGACTCAAATCGAATTTTATTCCGCGAATTCGCCGAATCAGCCGAATCGAATTTTTGAATAATTTGCTCATCTCTAGTGCTTAGCATAACAGGAGCAGCATAGGGGCGACCACATTTAATGCTGAGAGGTGTGAGGCAATGCTTGTAGTACAGTAAATTAATTCATTACGTATACCAAAGAAGCATGATAAAATGTGTGGCTTGACATATGGTTTGTTGTAGGTGTGGCACACCTTCATTAACAGAGAGGAATGAGACCATGTGTGTAGTGGAGAGGCATGAGGCACTTCGTGTGAATAAGAAGTAATGAGTTACTACTACTTCGCAAAGGCATAAAGCAATGCATTTAAAGTATTTACAATAGAAATGAATGGCAAAACATTTGTGTATTACAGTAGATATAAAAAAAATTATAAATACCTTTTTCCCGTTTTAAAAGTGATCACATTCCCTCTGATCTCAGCTGCCTAACAGCTAGGGGTGGAGAAACAGCACTGATCTTCCCAGTGAAAGGCGTGTGCAGAGCAGGGGGTATGTCAGAACAAGGCTGATCATTGGAGGAGAGTACACTGAGTTCCCAGCACAGCTGAGAACTGACCATGCTGTGCTATCATGCCCTAGTGTGATCAGTTCAACAGGAAAGCAGAGTGACTGGCAGGAACACCAGGGAGTTTACATAAAGGAAGCAATACAAAGAGAATAGGATACTTATCCCTACAAGCACATGGTACAGCAGGCACATACCAGGAATATGAAATGTTTGAGTTACATATTATTTAATAGATAGAAATGGATCTCTGTGTGTTGTAGATATTTAATACATTGCCTTTAATAAAGTGGAGGTGTGAGGTAGGGATGAGGTTTGGATGCACAGCTGGGTTGGTTCTGTGGTGAATCATTCACCGTTCATCCAGTGGCAAACTTGTGGGTTAAATTGCCAAAACTGAATCCCCTACATATAGTTCACTGTATGAACTGTAGTCAGGTGGCAGATCATGATGATTAATGGGATCTGGAAAATATACCTGCACAATCAGTATGTACGTTTGGGCTTCCATGAGCCATTTGTCAGTGTTGTGTTGGAGTAATGAGGGCAGCTGATAGAAATTTCAGGGAGGTATAGCTGTGTTAGTGCTACAGTGTAGTGCTAGGCCTGTTTAGCACAGGCTTCAAGTTGTATAAGAGCAGTGTGAACAACAAGCTTTTATAAACTTTCAGCAATTCTTTGCACAGCCTTTTGCAAGCTTCCAGCAGCTTTCTGAAGCCTTTATTTCTTTTACTTCCAGGACTTTAAATTATACCTGACAGTGGGGGTTTTACACACAGTCCCGGTGGCTACAGCCATTTGGAGTGTGTGTAAATCTGACAAGCCAACTGCTGGCTGTAAGATGGAATTAATTTGGCAGTTGGGCAGCCGACCAATTGCTTCCAAACCTCCAGTAACGGATGTCTCCCACGCACACACCTCAACATGTATCAAAGTCTCTGCTTGCCCATCTGCAGGCTTGGGACTGGCATTGCAGGTGCCACCAGGTAGAGGGGAGGGAGCCGAGCAGTCGTGCATCCACTCTTCCCTCATCTTCTTGCTGACCCAGAAGCAATATGGATGACATCACGTTCAGTTCCCCCTTTCACTGCATTAGATTTATTGGAGGGCAGGCGAGACATCAGTGATCTTTTAGTGCCCTTTTAGTACTCTGTCATCAAACAATCATCACATAGGGAACTTTTTGTCCCCTATGTGATGAAACAAAAAGTTAAAGCGGAGTTTCACCCAAAAGGGGAAGTTACACTTTAAAGATTAGAAAAATAGTGCAGCGCTCAAACCGGGGTAAATTATATTATATCAGATACATATATATAATTAAAAGTGACTCACACAGCCGTACCTCTTATATAAATAAATGGGCTGGTGATGACATATTCACAAGCAACTAAATCATGCACTTAGGTGACTATATGCATAATGCCATAAATAGTGTCCATGTGCATAAAAATCCATGCAGGTGAAAGCTGTAAGTGCCAATCCTCAAATAGGTGAAGTGCCCCCTCACCTTCCTGCCCAGGCCCCTAGGGACCAATGAGCCTTTTTGATATATGATGGGTCTTGGGTAGATCCTTCAGATGATGGATCCCTCGAGAGGTAATGGTGGGACTCTCCTCCTCTAATCTCCTATACCCAAGCGTTGGTGGTATCGAAGGTGCCCTTCCCACAGGGTCACTTTAAAGATTGGTTCCCCATTAAGGATTGGCACCTTTGAGGAGTGGGGGGGGGACGGGTACCCGAATTTGACAGGTTCCAGGTCCCACTTCCGCTGAGATCGCCTAGGCGATCAGAAAAGGAAGTTGTCCTCCTACCCTCTCTCCCTGAAGTCTTGTGGGACATGTGACAGATCCCAGAAGATGACGGGGTCATTCAGGAAGCACAGCGCTACTCGCGAATGCGCAGTGGGCACCCGGCTGTGAAGCCGCAAGCTGTCACAGCCGAGTGCCCACACTGAAGATGCCTGCCTCCTGAAATACAGAATGGCCGGTGAAACGGGCTGCGGTGGGGGCAAAGCGGGATTGTGGGACAGGTGAGTGGCTCTTTTTTAAAAGTCGGCAGCTACAGTTTTTGTAGCTGCTGACTTTTATTTTTTTACAAAATGAGTGGAACTCCGCTTTAAGTAAAAAAGAAAAAACATTTTTTAAATTGCAAAAAAATAAAGTTACACCCAAGCACTTATAATCCCCCCACCCAATTTCTGAGGCCCCCACCCCCACATACACACGTCAGGGGCCCCTATGCACAAAAAACATCAGTTGCGCTACATGTTACATATTACTATGCACGTAGGAACGAGAGAGATAATATTAGCACCAGAGCTCCTGTGTAGTTCAAAGCTAATGACCTGTAGGTGTTTTTGAAGCATCACCTATGGAAAATATAGTGTACTAAAGTTTGTCACCATTTCACGGACACACACAATTTTAAGGTTGGACATGTTGGGTATCTATATAATCAACAATACCTCATCTTTTATGTTTTACCATAACATTTGGTAATTTATTGCATTTCTTTGCATTAAATTTAAAAAGTGCATTTTTTTACTGACATTTTGTATTTCCTAGACCTTTGAGCTATCTTGTAGTAAAAAAGAAAATTTTTAATTAAAACTGCCACCATTTTATTCTCTAGGGCATCTGACTGCTGAAAATATATGATGTTTTAGGGGTTTTATGCAATCTTCAGGACTAAAATAATTTTTATTAGCAATATGTGCAAAAAAAGCAAAAATGGCAGCCAAAAGGGTTAAAGCACCCTTCAGCTCCTGTCTGGAAATGTTATACACAGATAGAGTGCTGATTGTCACTTTAACTGCTTTAGGACTGCCCTATAGCAGATATACTGCTACAGGGTGGCACCTGTGTGCAGGATCACGTATATATACAGTACGTCATTCTGCATTTCCGAGTAGGGGGAGCACGCAAGCTGCCTCCCTGGGGTACACCTGTGCCCGGATGCTCCTTTTGCCTAGGAGAGAGGTCTACAAGCTGCTTGAGAACAGGCCTTGCCCCAAGATAGTAATTGCTCATTGTGAGCTCTCCAGTACACACTTAATATTGCCTTTTCATGGTCTGTCCTCTGCAGACTTCTAATTGTCTAGGAAAAGTCTGCCATATATAGCAATCTCCTATGCACACCCACTAATTTATTTTTTTTATTTTGAAATGTTTATCTAACAAGGCCACTATAAGCTCAGATAATTATTACTGGAGTTTTACTTGAAGCTTTTATACCGACCTCAAACTTTGCAGCCAAGGCAGTATAAAACAGTAGTTATTTCCAAAAAAGGAATCCTATTACAAACTGAAAATTGAACGGTATGCGGATAAACATCGATCTGTGTTTTTTTTTTTTTTTTCAGACTGACTTATTTTGATGTACAACTAGATTTATAGAACTTGCTCATTTCACATTTGACCTGAACTAGAATGCAGTTTGAACCTGGTCTCCAGTGCAAAACATGATGAAAGCATTAACCAATGAATCTGTTTTCTTTGCCTTCCTGGAAGTGAAATAGCCCAAGAGGGAAACCCACACCACTCAGCACATAAACCAATTTAATATCTAAACCCAAAGAGAACAGAAAATGATATCACTTGTTCTAGAAGGCATGATTTCTTCTGATGAAAATATATGTTTTTCTCTAAATCATTTGTAAGGAAAAAGAAATCTACCCAGTAAGACTTATCACTGATATATGTAACATACCCAAGGTGATCGCCAATAAACACAGTGTAAATGGCAGGTGATAATCCTTTTTCCTATGGTAGGAGAGCTGCATTTTATGGTTAAAATGTATCTAAAGGCAAAACATTTTTGTAGTTTTGATAGCGCTCATGGTTTAAGACCCATGCTTGAATGCCCATTGGGGAAAATCAATCTCTATATTTGTTCTGGTTACCATTTCCACCAGGTTTGAAAATGAGTGAAAATCCCAAAAACTGAGTGAGAAAATATTGTAAAAATCCAAATGGGGTCACTTCTTCCTGTCAATCCTATCTAAGAGGGGATTTCTTCCTGTTATCCAGGATATGGTTCTGGCATGGATTTTTGTGGAGGGCCCCCTTGGCAAGGCACCAAGAGCCTTATTTCCACATCTCTGAGCTGGTTGATGTGGGGGTCTGTGATTACCAGAATCTGGAAACCCCTTTAGAACAAGGAGGCTCTCAGATATCCAGCTCTCCTCCCTACATAGGACCTGTTGTTTCACACAAAAAGGTAAATGTTAAATAAACACACAGACAGTATCCTTTAAAAAAATAAACATTTTCCCCTGACATAAATTTGTCAGTCATGTTTTCAAGCAATTTAGATCATCCTCAATCAATATGAGCACAGCAACGCACTGACCTGCTGTCCCTTGCCACAATGATCATCTCCTGCCGCTACTCC